TAACAACAGGGGGGCCGCTGCACCCTAGTTTGCTGCAAAGTCCAGCCTTCAGGAAACCCCTCAGTCCCAGGGCTGCAGAGCCAGTGGGCCACCTTATCAAAGGAGGGAACAAGCTTAGCACCGCTTCTGAAATTGTACTTATCACTCAGGTTTAGTTTTGAGCTTATGTCCAAAACTCATTTTCCACGGTGCATTTATACTATCAGGGAAAACATCCCAGAGCAGAGCCTGAGAGAAGTGTCAGACTTCTGTCCAGGTAAAGCTTCCTCCGTTTCCTGGGCATATTCTGCACTTGCTCCAACCTGTCCCTCTCTGGAGAAGTTTAAACCTGGCCTTCGGGCAATGAGCTGCACACGGATCTTACAGAGTAGGAAAGAGAGTCCATGCAAACTGGCCTCAATTACAAGTTTGTCTCATTTGAATCTACAGCTAAACTTGAAAGGGGCTCAGGATCCTCACCTTCCTGGCAGCACCCAGGTCCTGCATGTCACACCCTCTTGGGGTCTGATGTTCGTGAAGTCTGAACCCATCAACTAACATGCCATTGCACACCAGCATCAGTGACCAAAGGATCGTAACTCGTAGAATCCAAAGCCGAGGGAGGGAATAGTATCAGAGCCTAAATTGTGAGAATCGGGTTTGCAGAAGGCTATGGATGACAGTGGGACCCAATATACATTTGTGGGATCTAATAGGAAATAAGCCTCCAGTGATTTCCCTTATCCATAAAAGATGGATGAGAAGAAACTGGTTACCAAAGAGAGTGAATTGGAGAGATGACTAGTGAAGATCAAAATGATAAACCTGACTTGAACGGTCAAAACCTTGTCAGTTGTTCCCTCCTCAGATGCACATTGGACCTGATCCAGCCTGTGTGATCAAGAAGTGTCGATGGGATCAGGCATCAAAGAACAAAAAATCAAATCATTGTGAATGAGGGGGAGTGCAGATTGGGAACCCAAGACCCATCTGTAGGCAACTGGACATCCCCTTACAGAGGGGTCTCGGGGAGGAGACGACCAGTCAGGGTGCAGTGTAGCAATGATGAAACATACAACTTTCCTCTAGTTCCTAAATGCTT